CATGTGGTTTTGCTTGAATGACTATATATGACTTAATTGCCATTTTTTATTTTGTGATTGTCCAGCTGGCAACAGCTGCTGCTAGCAGCTGTGTGTCAGCAAGTGTACCCAAGTTCACATAGCTCTGCACTCTTCAACCTCAGTCATTTCTGCTTCTACCTCTGGGAACTTTCTGTGATGTTGCATGATGTGGGGGTAAACTTTTTGCTCAGGCTGCTCACTGTTAGAAGAAAAAGCTCACATGAGCAAGATGAATTGTAAATATCATTGTCATGTGGTTGGTGCATGAGTCTCATCCAGAATTGTTTTGAGTTCCCAAGATTGCTCAGGTGGCTAGCATATCCCCTGTTTGTTCATCTGAGTTGGCTTCAGATGCCAAAGTCTGTGAGCCCAGCTGTTAAGATTTAACAGGCAAGCACTTATGCTAATGACAGTGTATGGTCAGCAAACCCTGATAACCAGTAGTACTTTCCAGAGTATTTATGGAGGTGGATGGTCTCTGCTTATTCCCTCAGTGAAGAAATAGAATTGTATCACAGCTTGTTCCACATCCCATGGTAATGCTTCTCTTCCTGAATCTCACTTCCTGCCAGTGATGTTTGGGAGCCCACTAGGCAATCGAAGGTTTCTGTCTGTTTGTCAATCAAGAAAATTGAGCAAAATACTGTATTTCCATACAATTAGAGCAGCAATACACCTGTATGACCAGCTGACCTCCCTTTTTGTATTGGAGAAGGCCAGAACATGCCAGGGTGTGTTCTAGGAAAAAATACGGTAGATAACACAAGGAAACAGGCTGACTAAATGCTGATTGGCACACTCCTGGCACCAGATACAGTTCAAGCTACTCAACAAGGCTGCTGGTTTTCTCAGAGCCTCCTTTCTTCTCATACTGGAGAAAGAATGTTTCTAGACCATTTTTTAAAGAGAGTTGAATACTTTCAAGTCTCTCTATGTTGTTTTCATGCAATGGACATGTTCTCCTGTCCTTTCAGTTGTTTATCTGACAGTCATCATGAATTTGGAGTGTTAATTTCTTATAGGAAAATTAGGCTGAAGCATTTGTCCTTTGAAAGGTCTTCTGTCTTTGGTCCAGAAACAAGAGTGTTTTCCATACTCAGTACTGACTTCAGAGGCCTTTTGGAAAACCTGTACTTCAGCGGTTTTAGGCAAGTTCAGTAGTGTAAATATTGTAGTTTATGATTCATGGTTGTCAGTAGGCAGAGGTTTCCATCATTCATCCACCTTTCAACCTCAGCCACTGAGGGTTAGACAGGCGTGCCTTCTACAGTATTGATATCACACAGTGTTGCATTCCAGGGAACTGTCTACAAGCTGCTCAGGAAAGAGACTGTTTCATGATGCTTGACCTGAGTAGCATTCTTTTGTGTGGTAGTCAGGCCACCCTACTTACATTTCCTGCGTTTTGTGGTTGGATAGAACAATGAGCAGTTCAGGTTCTTGCTTCTCGGTCTGTGTGATATCCTGAGTCTTCATGAAGGACTCGATGACCCTAACTGCTTGCCTTTGTCTTCTGCATCTTTCTCCTCCTTGCTTTGATAATTAGCGAATAAAAAGAGGTAAGATACACATTCCTCAGTCTCTATGGTTCTCAGAAAAGGGAAGTTATCACAAGCTTTTAGTGGATATCCAGAACTTTCCTTCTCAGATCTAGTGTTCATCAGGATAATCATGTTCTTCCTGGTGCCAGCTTGCTTACTGCCAGCCAAGCGTTGCTCTTTCACTGTTGTGGTGCAGCTCATGACATCTTGATTGATGTACAGTGGGAAAGGCTGCCTGATCCTTTCTAGATTATGTGGTAGTTAATATCACTGAAAAGTCTACTAGGTGTATATGTCTGGCTAAATGACCAATTTATCTTCCTGGTGCATTGATCATTCCAGTTCCTCCCTAGTACCTCAACAGTAACTTTTTTTGGGATTCCTACTGGAGCTGATAGAAATGGGACCTTTCCCTAAATCAGCCAAGATCTACTTGTCTGCCATTTTACCCATGATTACGAGTTAGCTGGTTCTTAGGTTCTCTGACCACACGTTACTTAAGGTGTTCACAGCAGCATCAGCTCTGGGGTCAGACCAGGCTGCTCAGGGTTGTTTCATCCAGTCTTGGAAACCCCTAGATGGAGACTGCGCAACCTCTGTGGGCAACTTGTGCCAGTGCTTGAGTATCCAGTTGGAAGTTCTCATTTCAAATTGTGCCTGTTGTCTCCAGTCATCCTGCCATACAGCAGCTGTAAAGAGCCAGGCTCCATCTGCTCAGCGACCTCCCTGTGAGCATTGGGGAGCTGCTGTTAAAGCTCCCCCAAAGCCATTTCTGTTCCAGGCTGAACAAGCCCAGCTCCTCCAGCCTCTGTTCACAGGGCAAGTGCTCCAGCCCCCACCATTTTGGTGGCGGCTGAAGTTGCTCCGGTTTGTCAATGTCTTGTATTGGGGAATCCCAAACTGAATGCAGTATTCTGGATGCTGTCTAATGAGTGCTGAATAAAGGGTGTAATCGCTTCCTTTGATCTACTGGCTGTGCTGTTAACACAGCCTGGGATGTTGTTGGCCCTCTTTGCTGCCAGGACACACTGTTGGTTCACATTCAGCTTCAGGACCAGGAGTTCTCGGGGTTCACAAGCCTGTGTGGTTGCAAGGAGCACTTCCTTCTGAGATACAGGATCTTGCATTTTTCCTTGTTAAATTTTTTAAGGTTTTGTATTGGCTCATTCCTCCAGCCTTTCTAATGGTAGCGTGTCCTCCAGTGTATCAGCTGGTCCGTCCCCTGCCATCTCCCAGTCCTCACAATTTGGTGTCATTCACAGACTTTATGAGCAAGGGCCATTAAGCAGTACAGGTCTCAAGATAGATTCCTGCAACACTCCCCTTTTACTGGCCTCCAGGTAGAGTCCAATCCATTAACCAGTACCTCTGAGCCTCAGTATCCAACACATTTTTTGTCCATCTAGCTGTCCAGGCATGCAGACCTTAATGTCCTACCTTTGATACAAGAATATCATGGTAGACAGTGTCAAGTGCCCTTCTAAAGTTGAGGTAAACGATATCCACTACTTTCCTATTTTCCACAAATCCAGTAATTTTATCACAGAGGACAACAACGTCAGTTAGACATGATTTACACCATGGTGTACCCAGTGGTGACTGCGTGCTGACTGTCACAATCACTTTCCTCTTATTCCTGTGCCCAGGAATTTGTTTCCAGAGGACTTGCTCCTTGATTTTCTCTGGGATAGAAGTGAGTTTAATTGGCCTGTAGTACTCCAGGTTGTTCTTTTGACAATTGTGTGCAATATTTGCCTTCAGTCATCTGGGGATCTCAAACGATGACATCGGTGCATTGACTGGCACAATTTTTAAAATACAGTAAAAAGCAGCCTTGCAGTGGGCCATTTCTCTCACGCCCTTAGATATAGTTTGTCTTGTCCCATGGTCTCAGGTGGGGCTAAGTTCTTGCAGATAGTCACTGACTAGGTTGTCATTTACTGCTGATAGCTCTTCTCCTTGTACCCTGCCACTAAGCACAAAGGCATAGGAGACCTTGTCAATGAAGACTGAAGCAAAGAAAGCAATGACTAATTCTGCTTTACCTGTTTCTCCTTCACTAAATCACCCACCCATTCAGCAACAGGCCCACACTTCCCTTGTTCAGCTTTGTATTGCTAATGTAGCAGTAGACCATGACATCCTTGCAAGTCTGAACTGGAGCTGAGCTTTGGCTTCCTTGACACCATCCCTGCATGCCTAGACAGTGTTTTTTAATTTCTCCCTTACAGGCTGTCCCTGCTTCTGCCTCCCGCATGCTGCGTTTTTCAACTGGAGCTCATCCAAGCCTTACTTTTGATACATTTAATTGTCTTCCCAAATATCAGAACGGATTGTTCTCGCCCTTGGAGGGTGCTGTCCTTTACTGGCCTCTCACTGCTGCTGACGCACAGGCTCTCACCCAGCCGGTCACCCATCCCGTAGAATAGTTCCATACATCTGAGCTGCTCTTTTACAGAGATGGCACACACCCCCCGTCTTTCTTGAAGTGTGTCTCTGTCCCCGCAGCACTACCGCTGTGTGAGCCATCCCACTGCGCCTCAGTTGCTCCAACACTATCATAGTTGTGTGTCCACACATGGAGCTCTTCTTTCCCCTGCTTGTTTCTCAGGCTGCACGCATTTGTGCACATACACTAGAGGTGGACTCCTGCCTATTTTTATACTTCCTTGAGGCTTGTTTTGTACCTTTTACCATGTACTCTTTCTACCCCAGTACACCCCTTCCTCACTGGACTGCACTTTGTAATCTCACTTTTCCAGTGTTCCTAATACAAAGCTTTTATCATCAGATTTTGGCAAAGCAGTGCTCAACCGTCAGAGAGGGTCCTGTGGTCATAAAAGCCAAATCCTGTTGCTAACCTCAGTTGTGATACAAAACGTTGATCTGCAAGTTCCGTCTGTTCCTCCTTAAGCCTTTCTCCTCACTGACGGCCACCTGGGTCTCCATGCCTTTGACCCTTACCCCCTGAGCTATGTTGCTCTTCATATACTGCAGGCCAGCTAATAAAAATAATAGCAGGAAGTCTGTGATTCTGTGAGTTTGTGAATGCTTGAACCAATATGACACATAGTGAGCGGGAGGAGAGGAGAGCGAGAGCACTTTCCTCATGGACACTGGTTGGGAAAGCTCTCTAGACTCAAGTAACAAATCACAAGTATATCCATGGTTTTGTACTAGGCCTCTCACGTAGCATTGCCTGCTGGTATGTAACATTAATTGTTCTGCAATGAAGGCATGTCCTGAATGATTTTTCCATGAACCTTAATGGAAATGTGGTAGATATAATCCAGTTTTCCTCTATGGCATTTTGGTGTCTTAATCATAAGAGCACACCTCTTTTTGGACTCTGATTTTGGATCCTGCGTAAGCACAGGCAGCCTTACTGAACTTAAGTAGGAATTTTTATTGAATGTAATTTTTCATTCTTATTTGTAGGTATTTCAAATTACTGTGAAAGATACTGTGAAGGTATGAAACTTGTTCTGAACACCTTTGGACCAGTTCCAGAATTTTCAGGTGAAGCTGAACAGAAAATCAGTCAGGTAAATATGGAGTTGATAAATGCAGTGACATTCAGAACAAAGAACTTTAGTTTTTAACGTTTGTAGCATTTCAGTTTACTGTTAGAGGTACCTATAGTATGTATTTCTTGTGTGAATGTGTGTTTTAAACAAAAAGATCAGTGAACAGAATGCAAGTGTCTTGTCAAAGCACTTTGACATACATCGATGGAAAGGGATCTAGCAGAGTAATGTTATTGCTAGACAGAAGGGTCAGCTGCTAACAGCTGTGGGTTAGTGACATTAAATCTTCCACACTATTTTTTACCAATTCTGTGCTGTGTCCTCTACTATAATATGCACAGCTCCAAGCTTCCTTTTCTACGTGACTTCTCTCCCTGTGTCTTCCTCCTATTCCATCTTCTTTTATTAACCCTGCAGCTTTTTTCTTCTGGATGTTCTTTTTCTTGGTTTTTGTACTTTACAAACTAGAGTTCCAGTGTGTAATGCATGCAAATACGCATTTAAGTTAAGCATGTGAGCAGTCCAGTAAGGTTACTTGCATGGTTAAAAATAATCATGTTTAAGAGCTATACTGGATTAAGACCTGGTTTGTCCATTAAAATTTCTAAGCCCACCATTTATTTATACTGACTATATATAGGCTATTTTGTTTGGCCATAGGAATTAGTTGAAGTATTGTCATATCCTAACTCTGCCTTTTCATAGTTCCCTTTTTTAATGCTTCACTAAAGAACTAAAGTGTGTGTTAAATTGTTAATCTGTCAGCAATGAACTCCATATATGAAGACAGTCTGTCTGGAAGGTAGCTTTTTTTTTTCCTATTTATGTTAATGCAATTTTAACGTCAGCGATGTTAAAAAGAATCTTTATGCTTAAGCAACATATAGTAACAGTCAATAATAATGGTGGAGTTATTCATGATTAGAAGCTTTTAATTGATATGAAACAGTTTGGGTTCCACTGGATTCCACTTCAACATCTGTTTGTGTCTCTCATTATCTGCAGTCTTCAATGCCAATGATGGGCTTCGAAGAATCCTCTCTTTAAGAGTAAAACATTAAACATTTCTTATCTTACACCTCTGTCCCTCCCCTGATTTTTTTTTTTGGAGTGACTGCAGCTTGCCAGTCATTGGTGGCAGGTCCAGGTTTTACCCAGTTTCTCAACACTTCCCTTTTAAGCCTAAGACCTTAGGTACTATTTTGGCAAAGATGACCTTGTGATCTCTAGCTGCACTCTCAAAACAGGTTTTCTCATTGAAAGAAAATCTGTGACAAGGACCTGTCTGACCAGAGCTTACTACCTCTTGTTCTCCTTCCAGTGATACAGTTAATTGGCAACTTCAGCTGTGCACTCAAAAATACCTTCTCCCCTCCCCACCTCATTTTGTTTTAAATGTCATCTTTGCATGTTATCTTGTTCAGATTTTACCATCTTATGCAGACTTTATCTTTGTGTCCTCAATAGTACTTTCTCTCCCCCGTATTCCAATAAACAACAAAAATCATAATTGTGGGTTTGTTATGTGTCTTCCACTGTCATTTTGATTATAACTGGCATTCCTAAGGCAAAATTTTTTTAATAAACATGATATCCCTCATTACATTTATTAGGAGCCAGAAGGAAGATCAGAGCTTTAAACACACACTGAGGAATTTGGTTTAGAGCACATTTTCAACCACATACATGGCCAGGTTGCCTCATTCATACTTAATAAAAGGTTATTATCAAAGAGGCTAGACAGTGCTGCATGGGGCAAACCAAGAGAAGAGGCCAGTGCTTTGTTCTGTAAGCACCTTCATTGCCACATTCAGGCCAACCTTCTCCACGTGGCAGCACTCCTCTTGTACAGGTTAGCTCATTTCCAGTCACCCATGTAAAGAATTAGTGGCCTACTGCTTGTGATAGACTAACTTACAGTTTGTGTGGGTGGTTATTTGGTCTGATACAGGGAAAGCAGGAAGACAATGCTGGTGAGAAGCTTTTTACTCAGAACAAGAGATTTAATCATCTTAAATTTTCTATTCCAGGGAATGTCTGAGAAAATTCCAGTTATTCCCAAAGTCCTGGATGCCAGGAGAAAATGGAGAGATGAATGTCTTGCTGGTCTTTCCAAATTGAAGAAACAAATGAAATCTGACTGAGGTGCACCTTGTCTAACAAGAGAGACCAAATGAAGAACAGATCTTCATTAAAAAATAGGAAATTCTTGGTCCTGCATAAAAGGAGACTGAATGTGCAACCAATGATATGCACAAATGTAGAGATCAATGAAATATTTGGTCCAAATTTGTCATGATGTAATTCATGAGTAACTGGAAACAGTTATTTTAAAGTTCAGTTAAAATTTATCAGATTACTATATATGCATTAGATGTGTAAGCATTAGTAGTTTTAGCAATATTAATATTGTGCACTGCTGGAACACAATCATGTTTTAAATAATGCGTTTTTCAGCTTGCTTAGGAATTCAGCACTTGAATAATATTTGCTTATGCAAAGGATCTGAAATAGGCAAACATCAGCTGTTTGTCACTGGAGAAAATAAGCCCTCATCCGCCGGTCACTGCAACAGCGAGGTTAATTTGTAAAGCACTGACTGTAGATAGAAGGTTGTATTGAGTAAAGAGTAGATTCACTGGCCAGTGAGCTGAGACCCCAACAGCAGTAAGGGTCACTTCGGTTTGTATCTGTAACTGTTCCACAATGTAGTGGAAATAATTACTCCTCCTCTCCCTCTGTTTGGCACTTCTGTACCTGTAGGATGATCTAACTGTGAGTAAATAAAGCAGAATTCCCCCTTCATCCCTTACCCCTTTTTCTCTAAGACTCAGCAGAGATCCACTTGGTCTTTAAGACCATGCACTTGATACCCCATGACTTTGCCTCCAGCTTAAGTCAGGTGTTTGATGCTGGCCATTGGCATTGCTGCATAAATACATAACCTGTTTTAAGACTGGTGTATGAAAAATAAGAGACTTTGATTTCATAACCAGTTTGGGAGACAGTATGGTGTAGTGAATTGGTCTGAACTTTCTCCCAGGGTACTCCATGACTGCACCTCTGTTGCCATGTCTGTTTTGTACATTATCTAAAGCAAGAACTGCTTCTTTAGGACTCAGCTGCAGTGAATGTAACAGCTGTAGCTGAAGGGATCCCAGGTATCTGCTATTCTGCTTGCCTACTGAAGGAGAGGTGCAGCAGCTTAGGTGTAGCATTTATGCTTCACTGCTGTCCTTCCTACAAGGAGACACAACATCTCCTCCGTATACAGGGACACAGTATACAAATGGAAGTAGAAATATCCTCAGCTGCTACAGTGGTGTGTTAGGTTCACAGGAGGCAATGTTATTATGAATGTATGTACCCTGTAATATAGGTGGACTATGATCTTAGCTGGAACCTTGGGGAATTATGCAGATAGTAAGAATTACACGAAACAGTGCATTGCACCCACCTGCTTGAGTTATTTACAGAGGGTGCAGCACACAAACAAGTTGCTGAAACTTAATTTGTTGCCATTTTGAGCTGAACAGCAGAAATATCTGTGCAGACATATCAATACTACTTCTGCTTAGGTTACCGTGAAAGAGATGGAAGATAAATTGTATTGCTTGACACAAGTGGTGGGCCAAAAACACACCTCTGGATATGAAGCGTGAGATGGGAAGCATAATGCAGAGGCTGTCCTGTGCTCCTTTATCATCAGTGGGGAGAGAGGAAAATTTGTAAACTCAATTTATTTTATCCCAATATAGACTTAAAATTGTCAGGTTTCTTCTATTGCTTTTTATTGCCACAGCAACTGGCTCAATGTGCATTTAGACATCTGAAGTTGTGGAGGTCAGTCCTCACTCCCAATGCCTTATTAAACAATAATAAATTATTTTCAGGGCTGATTTTCTCATTTTATGTATGTTTCTGCATTTCAGACAAGGCCATCGAATGTTCCAATTGCTTTTTAAGATCAGACCTGGTTTTCTATGAGCATTGTCATAAGTAATTTGCTCACATTGCTTCTGTTTATTCTGAGATATTTTAAAACTTACTTATGTCATTAAATATTTGCCTCCATCTTTACTATTTCCTTATGAATAAAATATTTTAATGAGGAAAGTATTAACTTCTGTGCTTCAGTGTGATACTGTAGTAGTAGCACTACATAGGATGTCTTTAGAAACAGTGTCCCTGCACCACTCCTGCAGTTCTTCTTCCAAGGAGAGCTGTTGGTAAGGGCAGTTTCCAGTGGACTTTTGAAACAAATCAAACCACTTTGTTTTCTAGTTTGCTAGAAAACAGCATGACTTACTTTCTTAATGTATACTTAAAGAAATCCTCCATGGGGTTGCACAACCGTCAGCTTTTTTCCTTCTCTCTTTGATGATTTCTGTTCCTTCAGCGAGGCTGGATTGCCCCTCAGCAACCACTGAAGTGGAGGGACACTTGGAATAAAATGGCACTTAGTGTGCATGAGATTTTTTCTTGAACTTGAATGTGGAATGGAGATTTTAATGCGTGGCTTTGTAGATTTCTTCCAGCTACTTGGATTTCAGACCTCTATTCATAAGAAGTGGAGATGTGTAAAATGCAGAATCATCCAGAAATTTGTTTTCCTTTATCTATGAGTAAAAAGTAGTCAAAGATGGAAGGCTCAAGAGCCCATACTTGCATGTGGATATAGGAAAGCTTTGTGCAGAAGCTGGACTTCTTTTTAAAATATTCTATAAAATAGAGCTGTAAATTTGCCCTAAATTGGATGTTTGATCTGTTTAGCTTAAGCCTAGATGGTGACTGCTGTCATAGTAGTTATGTACTGCCTAAGGCCTCCATAAGGGTCCAACAACTCTGTGTCAGCACAACGGAGCTGTTTTACAACAGAAGACATTTAAAAGCCTCTGTAATTTAAACACTGTGTGAACCTTCTTTTGCATTTGCTATGTGTTTAAATCAGGTCTTGCAGTAATTTTTTCAGTATCATAGCAGTACATACTTTCCGTATGAAGCCATGGTGGTTTGTCTTTGGTCTGCTTAAACAGATAATACTCCTAACAAATACAATGGAGGCATTTTTTTGCAGCCAAGGGAGAAAGTGATGAGGCTGGAAAATCCTCGCTGTCACTCTGATATTACTGAAGAAATGAGATTGTTGTTTAGGAGTTTCCAGGAACTGCCTTGATACAACTGGTTCTTCTGAAAGAGTATTTTTTAAATACATGTTTTTTCCTTGTCTTGCACAGTAATTCTTTATACATTAAGTCTGCACTACCAGTGGAAATGGTTTACCGTTGTCTTGTGCTCCACTGCAGCAGATGCCTCAGTGAACACCGCTGCCATCTCCATGTAGCACAGACAAGTTTATAATATGTGTGTTGCTCCTGCACTGGTATAGCAAAGCTACCAGTCAGCTTTATTCCCAGCTGTGTTGCTGAGGAGCTTGTATTTTCTTTATAAGCTCTAATTAAAAACTTAATGGGGTGCAGTCTGTCTATTGAGTTCTTAGTAATGATAAAGAATTTCTGTGCACTTAAATTATTGGAATTACCGCTATAACACAAAGGCAACAGACCAAGAAGTGCAGGGCTTTCCACATTCCAGAGCACCTTCAACCACAAAACCAACCCATGCAGTAATGGAAAGATGTAATTGTGCCATTTCAAACATCCCAGGGTAGTGGGAATAGTGAATTGCATAACCAGGCAATTTAACCGAATGGGCAGTGCCTGTGCGTGATCTGTATCCTACAGAAGGTTATGGAGTAGCATGAAGTTGCATTTGTGTAATTCTGTAAACCAGAAATGTTTCTTGCATTTGCTTTTGCTTTTCCTTTTTGAAGTAATCAATTACAAACATCATCTCTCCCCGTTAAGATCTGTGTCAGTGCATAGTAAAGGGTGATTACTGAAGTCTGATGGATTTTTAAAGTGCGAATATAGCTTCAATTTCTAAAAGAGACAACACCATACTTCTCTAGTCTGCCATTTACAAAACAAAGTCCTTTTAAAAGTAACACAGCAAAGAAAAACACATAAATTTTACAACAAGATGCAGGTATTATTTATATTACTAAAAATAAAATCATATTTCATTAAGTAATAGGAGCTTATGTTTTAATCTGATCTTAGTATCTGAATAGTTTATTATAAGGAAAACCATTAGATAGGGATTAATGCAATTGTATTTAATCATCAGTTAAAGTGAGGTATGAGTTAGTGTCACCCTGGTATACTGTGTGAACAGTGCTCGCTGTGTCTGTGTCTGCACATAGCCTTGGTTTCAAGTCTCTTCTCATACAGATTACAGTCCCGACTCCTCTGCAGGGTAGAGAGTGGTGTCCTACCACCTCATCACAGCCACTGCCAAAACACTTGCCATGACAGCTCTCCAGACAGTGGTCACTGACTGTAGGGTAATTACTGCCCTGACCACCCTGTTGGCAATCCTGTCCCCATGCGTATGCAGAGCAAAAGAATGTGATTTCCAGCTGCCACCTCTCTCGTAACCTGCCAATGAGTTTCTTGAATGTCAACAAAAGGACTTTGCCTTGCCCACGATTCTGAGGTTTGCTGCATTTCTTAGGCCCAGATCGCTCTGTGTTGGCATCCTGCCCTGTTTCTGTAGCAAAGGAGTTTTAGTTGTGACATTTAAATGGACAATCTGCCCAGCTCATGGGGAGCTCGGCCACAGTCTGCTGCATAGCTAGAAACAGATGTTAACAGCTCATCCTCATTCGCCTGCCTTCCAGGCTAACAAGCTTGACTATTCACCTGTAAAATCATTTTTCCCTTCCAAGATAATTACCTGCAAAGGTAAGTGAGGTCCATCTGTCCTAGGTCCAGGTTCTCTGCTCCATGATCCCTGCTGCAGCTTGTCTGATTTTCCCTAATGCAGGTTACTGCCAGCTGCCACCCATCTGAGATGGCATTAGTTCAGCGTGAGCAAAGCTTGAGAACTTGCTGTGAGACAAATGTTTGTCTTAGCAGTATGTGGCTCTTTTGCCAAGATGTGTGTACTTGTAGGACCTTTCAAGTGGTCATACCGAAGGCTCAGAAACCTATGTTAAAAGGCAGAGGTGATCACCACTGGATGTTAGAGCCTATAAGAAGGGCTTGAATATGGCCATGGTCATGATTTATGAGTAATACAG